GGAAGAAAAACAAAACAAAATCAATTAACCAAAGAAACCCTTGACTATGCAGTTCTCACTTAACAGCATGCAAGATTAGATACTTAAGCAACCCTGAAAGCACCAATATTGCTGTGACATTCTGTTCCACTAACAAGCAGCGCCTGAGACACTTTTGAGCTGGCGAGCCCTCCCCTTATTTTTCAGGGTAGCCGATTGCCACCTTCTGGAGCAATGCAACAACTGTAAGACCAAGAAAACATTATAGAGCATCAGCAGTTCTCCTTTTGGAAACTGAACCCCAGGAAAATACTTCCCTCACACACACCCCCGAAAAAATCTTATAAGTTTTTTTTAGTTAGTTTGGAGACTCGCTTGTTCCCATCAGGCCTGTTAAGAATCATTAAGCGAAAACTTGATATTTTACCAAAAATCCACAAAGAACAGTTTATTTTGTAATATTCTCTATCTCATTTGGGAATAAAAGTAGAAACTGAGGTCTAAACCCCCCCCAAACAAAACAAATGGTAATTTTACCATATGGAATTCTGACAGTCTTTCTGTGTGTTATATTTAAACAATGTAAATGACACTAATGACTTTTGGACTTTTTTCTGGCTAATTCCTACATGAAGCCCACTCTGCAATGTAAATACCAGGTTAAGGGAATAATGCCCTTGCTAATTAGTAAGTCTCCTTATCTGAACTCACTGCAGCTGAGTTTTGCTGCCTGTAAGACAGAAACCTGCTACAGTAGTTCAGAAGAGGAAGTAATCCTCAGCTAGGCACGACTAACAAAATAAGGTTACTCACCAGGAAAAAAACCACACACACACACACACATATATCTCAAATAGTCTCAAAGGGTTAATCTAAAAGAGCCCTTTAAGAATCTTTTTCTATATGGGTCTAGTTTGATTCTAAAGCTACTGCTGTTCCCATTAGCAAGCCATGCAAAATTCCAGAGAGTTCCGAAACATTCCCAGAATTCCACTAAAATTTAAAAGGCTAAAAGTCCTGGCCTAAGCAGGTGAAGGACCTGAACATTCACAATGCTTTCCAGCCTGGATTTGGATCTTTACTTCCCTCCCCAACCCAAGGGCTCTTACTTTTCTCATGATCTTCCGCCCATAGAACATCACTTTGTCTCTCTTACGAAACCTGTACTGAGGCACGTGCGGTTGCAGTTGTTCTAGAACACAGAAGCAGCAAATCAAAAACCACTTGCAGTTTTGCATTAAAGAGCATTAACGAGCAGTGATATCAACTCTTCCACCTCACAATACTTCCAGCTTGTGGCTATTAAGAAGCATGATTGAGTACTCGGAGTCTGAAACCTAAATTAATACAAGATTACCCAACTCTGGTTAGCCAAGCCAGGCTAGGGAAGAGCTGGCTTGAGGCTCTACTTAATCCCTGGGAGAGGCAAATAAAAAAGTACCTCAATAGATACAAAGATCAGTTAATTTTATCTCCCAGAAGGAGACCTCCAATTTATCTGCTTCCCATGATTTCATTAGTGAAATCACAACAAGCTTGAAATTATTCATCTTACTTGGTACGTAAAGGTTATCACAAAAGCTCTAATGACTTGCACAGTGGGTATGAATTCTACAGCCAGCTGTGTGCAAGTGAAACAGTCCAGGCCCTTTAGCCCTTTAAAGCTGTTTTTCTCCATGAACAACTGTGTGAGCACAGAGTCTACTACTTGATATCAAGAAAACACTGAAGGAAGATAACCCACCAATAAAACCATTTTAAAAAACATACTTACTAGATTGTTTCACTCTTCTGTAAACAACAAAGACCACAATTCCTATAAGGAAGATGGCTACTGCAGCTCCAATTGCAATTCCAGTCAGCTGTGAGAGGAATTTATGAAGATAAAAAAATAATTAATTTTAAAGTTAAAAATA